TACCCCCGTTTATCATCTCCAAGGATCGAAGGATTCCGCCGCGAGGGGAATTACGGTTACGTCACTGCTACGCCTACGTCTTTTTCCAATGCGCGCGTCCATTCAGGTCCGCGCGAGGGAACGAGCGATCATTGGACACGAGACGTCGCGGTTTTTCGATTCGAGAGAATCCGCCTCGGTTTCGCCACTCTCTCTTCCGGTTTGGGGCTGACACAAAAGAAGGCGAAAGAGAGAGAGATTCGAGGAGAAATAAAGATCGATGCGATGCGATGCGGACGAACGTCGACAGGAAACGTTTTGACAGATATCGCAGTTGCGCTGCCCGGTCTCTCGTTAAGGTCCATTTCATCCTGAACCAGAAAAAGAATGAAAAGGGGAAGATGAAGAGGTGGAAGATGCATCGTGAGTTACGTATAACGCATATATCGTTCTGATTTTCATTGGCCGCGGCCAATTTCTCATCGCTTCTTCGACACGTACGAACGCGCACCGCGATAAATCTGCTTTCGCATTAGCGGCCATAGTCGATCTAGAAACCGACAAGAAGAAATTGCTTACGCGAGGTGGAACGGATCGTAATGACTCGGCTCGCCGATACATGCATCATCGGCATTCTTTCGCGTATCATCCTGTGTATCATCAAATACACGTAATCTCGTGTAATTATTGAAATTGACATCGATTATACTCCATTATAAGATCGCGTTCGTCCCGTGATTAAAAATTATACCGGATCGATTCCAAGGGAAGCGAGACGAAAATTGCCAACGACGATTTTTGAATACCAATTTTCGAACTTGTCTCGATCGAAGGCCTGGAAAAATCGGGGGAATAAATATCCCCCGTTTCCCTCCCACTCTCTCTCTCTCTCTCTCTCTCTCTCCCAGAGATCCTATATCGAACGGATCGGGAATAAAAGAGTGCTGTGTTTCGTTTCAACGTTAAGAAGAATTCCTCGGTCAGAACGAGACTACGCGACAATAGAAACTCTCTTGGAATGAAAGGAAGCTAAAAATACCCAGCGAGGGACCCAGCCCCGTTGCTTCGAAAGCAATATATCCTAGCGATATATCTTTTCGCCACCGAGAGCAAAACCTCGGCACCCTTTCTTGTTCACCACGCAACCATCGGCCATCAAAACCTTGAAAACCTTGGCAGCCGCGAGTAGGAATAGGCGTATGGTATCGAGCGTACGTACGCGTGTACGTATACTCCAACGTGTTCTTAAACGTCGTTAAATCGATTCGCGCCAGAGGCGCGGAGGCTTACGTACGCGCGATCGTGACAGGACGGCCGTGAATCTAGCCGCCGACACTTGTAAACGTGGCTTTAAGGTTAGCAAAGGGGTGTAGACAACGCTGGGACAAAGTGGCCGCGGTGTACGCGGTGTAACGGCCGTGCGGTTACCGGTTTATAGCGCGGGAATGCATCCACCAGACGCGCACAATGAAGAAAGCGGAGGCACGCAAACGCGGCGGTGAACGTTGGCCGACTCGCAAAACGGTTTTCCAACCGCTGAATTCGAGCCGCTGGCGACCGGCGAACGCCGCTTGATTAATATTTCTAATTACCCAGCTCGGCTTCTTCTCGCCTAGCTGCGTAGTCCTCCCGCCTGCCAATTAGCCTGGCTACCTCGTAAACGCCATAAATGATACCTTCTGTCTGCCTCGTTTAATCCTCCTCCTCCTCCTCTCGTTACAAGAGCGACAGTTAGTTACAGGTTGTTGGGGAGATTCCATCCGATCGATCGTCTTGCCTTTTTTCCGCCCTCACGCTTCTTTCAGACTATTGGACTTTCGATAGTTTGATTTAATTTTAACTGGAATTTGGATCGTCTCTCCTCGCGGATGGATATATTTCGAGAGAGATTTAATTCTCTCGATACCGGTACGTTTGAACGAGGTTATTGAACCTCGGATCGTTGGATCGTTCGTTCGTGAACCACCTTTCGCTGCTTTAATCCTCGGCCAATCGAATATGAATGAGATTTAGATTTAGCCGTGCGGCGACAAACGAGATTCGAATTGCGAGCATTTTTCATAAATTTCACCAGTGGAAATCTCACTCGATCGCAAGCGTCGATCGATGGACGGAGGAAATTAATCTTCGTTCGGACGAATCGGATCGATACGATTTCTCGTCGAATCTCTACGGACGATTCCACGCGTCCGGTCCATCGGCGCATTAAACTCGAGGTAGCTAATGAAGCAGCGGATAAGCAGGCGTGCATCGGTAACGGCCGATAACCCATTGATCATTCGTGGAAATTACAAGTTGGGAAGTAGGGAATTCTCGATCGATACGACGGCTGGTTTCTGCGCCAAGTTTCTTCATTAACAATCGTAAATAATCTCTCGAATCGAATCACGATTCCTCCTTGCTATCTTCATCTTCGTACGTACGTAATCATTCACCTTTTCGAGCGGTAATTAACGTCAAATGACGTTTTCTCCTCGTCACGGTGGATAAGAGCAGCTTCCTCTGCCACCTTTTTTTTTTTCCCTCCCCTTCTCTCGCGATGACGCACACGAAAGCCTGGAAACTAGTCGCAGATCGTCGAGTCGATCGTCGATCGCCCACGCGAATCGCTGGCACGCAGTTGAGCACGGCTAATCGATTCTTAAGTGACTCTCGCATCCAGGCTGATTAATAATCGTAATTATTATCCTTTCCATTCCACCTTTCGTTAATGATTTTTCGTCCCTGCACCTAAAATATATCGACTCGTTATTCGAAGTACTCAATGCTAATAGTGTTTGTTCATGATGATCAAAAATGATGAAAAAATGATCGAATCATTGACCGATCACTGCCAAAATTAATTGTCAACTTGTCGATCGATCGTGAATCGGGTGAAATTTATCCAACATTTCCCTGCATTCATTCGTTGTTTGCTGGCCTCGAGTTTTTCTTTCTCTGCAAGACTAGTTTATGCTAGATCGGAGCATGGACAACGCGATATTAGCCAGTGACTAACGGGCTCCCACAGACGCGATAAATTGGCGAGTAAGCGGGCTGGCGATTCTTTTACCGATGAACCGTTGGTTCCGGCAGAAAGAGGACGATCGAGTTCTATCTCTTTCCAAGGATAATGTCATCATCGTTTATTTATCGAAATATATCTAATTTCTTCGTTCAGGGAAATTTTGCAACAAGATCTGTTCAGAAAAATTATTGTTTCGTCTCGAAATTGTGTATCTAACTTTCTCATGTAAGAGGAGAGATTCACAATAGCGAGAGAGATTCTTGCTTGAAAGATTGTACGTTCTCAATGCTTTGAATAGCCAGCAGAAAGTTTACGTTTGAATCTTGAATTGAGAGCTGTTTGAGATCAGGAAGCTTAGAAATATTTGACCGGACCAATTTCACGGGTATATATAAAACTTCTTTGCCTTTCACTTCCTTCTTCTTAAAAAAGTCATAACTTTTTCATCGTTTTCGAATCGAAATTAGGTTTAAGCTCGTTTTGAAATTCTCCGTCCGGATAAACCCTTTGCTTTTTACGTCGGTAATCAACCTGAATCTTTCGCCGTACCAATGGGCCAAGCAAACGGATTTCGATCCGAAGATGGTTGCCGGTTCTTTTCCTTCGGCTTAATCGCCGGACGAATCGAGTTGCTGGTTAAGCACGAGGAGAGAGAGAGAAAAAGTTATCTTTAAAGATAATCGATAAGATGGGAAAACATTCCGCTTTGACCGTGATTTATCTTCAACTTCCTTACCATCCTTCGGCCATCCCATCTTCGAGGAATAATCTAATCAACGATTCGTATATAATTATCTAGAATATTTTTTAGAATCTCGATGTAAGAAATAATCTTTGCGAAGAAATAATCTTTGTGTCTCGGGATCGGGACAACGGATGACCTGGCACGAATCTCCTCTACCAAGAATCCGATTGGCCAGGAAATTTGACAGCGGACAGACACTGGCGGCCGCTCCCTGGTTAAGCTCTAATCGCATTAAATTGTTTCGCAGTCTGCCAATTGATCACGTTCAATGCTGGATACGGGGAGCGGCTCGGCGTTTATAATATCAATTCTTCACCGATTAGATACCACGTGAACGAAGCGCTGCTTTACTCGTGCTTGACTTTGAACTTTTTCCCGTATCACCTTCGATCGCGATCGCGACACGCCATTGCTTTCGATCAAGGTGCACACGTTTATTTATTCACCGATAACATAGAAAGGATACGACGATTCGACACGGAGGATCGGCTTTCGATATCTTGCATCGATTCTCGGAAGAAAATTTTTTTTTTAAGTAAACTCTATACCCGAGAATGATTGTTTGTGTATTTTTCGAGACCGATCTCTGATATTCTTCAGATTTCATCTTTTTAGCTCTTTACCTCTTTGTTTCGTCGTCGAGAGGTGTTAATGACGCTAATGCATCTGCTCGGCCAGAACGAAGCCGAGCAGAGAATCAATATTCATTAGCGCTTCGTTCCTCCGCCCGAATGATTCCTCCGCGTCTAACCCACAAACCCATGTGCGTGTGAACCCTTTTGCCCAACCTTTCAAAGGATTCCTTTTCGGATTCCACGATTCACGCGATCGCCGCGTGAACACGTGTTTGCTCGCCGGTCTGGGCTACATTTCTCAGGTAGAAGAGCAGACAGAAACCTCGCGTGGACTTCGTACCCGATCTTTGCCCACTCATTAACCCTTTTGCTTGGCCGAGTATCATCACGATTCGTAACGAAAATTTTCCTTCCACACCGAAAATAACCGATCAATCTAACTCTAATCTACTTTCATTACGCGAAAAAACCTTAACACGGTTCCATATCTATACAGGTATTATATAGAACGCTAAATATACAAATTTTGCAATTTTCTTTTAACAGAGAGATATCGAACGATCTCCTTTTCGAAATTTTCAATCTCTAAATCTGGGGGGATCGAATCTCTGAAAGATTTCGCGAGACGGAAATTTCATCATCGTCTACAGATCCGTCCACACGAAGCTCCGTTACTCGGATCCAGTGATCCGCGTGTAGCGTGAAGCGTGCAATATCGATTTATCGCACCGGGTTCGGGCGTTGCACGCGCCTCGATACGCGTTGCACTTACGCACGCGTGGCTCTCGACAAAAGGAGATCCGTTTCACGGCGAGACACCGATTCGCGCGGTCGTCACGCCCACGTACACGGCTTTTCTGTCCCCCGTGAAACTACCGGAATGCCACGGATTCGCGTCCACCGAGGCAACAACCGATACGTTCGACCTCTCTCTCTCTCTCTCTCTCTCTCTCTCTCTCTCTCTCTCT